CGCGGGAGGGTGAGAAAACTCACCAGAGATAGAGTGGGGACCAGAACGGGCAGACGGATGGAGACACTGCTTAGGGGAGCAGCGGGTAAGGCAGGAGAGGTCTGCCATGCCAATTGGGTCTCTCCCTGGCCGGCCGGCAATAGAATCCGCACTGCAGAGGCTGGGGACAGCCTCACAGTGTGGTGCTCAACCCGCTGTGCCACCACAGAGGCCCTGTAGCCAGCTTTAAAATGAGAATGTTCATAAATACCCTAACTTTCTCTTCCCAGAAGGCTGCACTTTCCCACTCTTGTGAAGGTCTGACTCGGCCATTTCATGAGTCAATTTTTGCCCTCTTCTCTCATCTGGGTGACTGCTCTGTGTCCTGGGGCCCTGGTGTGAGGGTGCTGATAATGTGGAGAAGTCAGTCCGAAAGTAGCACGAGTGACAAATAAACGGTGGCTGTGTCATTCAGTGTAACCCACTCTGTTTTGAGTCTGTGTTTCTCCCCACCAGGTGGATGAACCCTTTTGTGAAATCATAGGAAAAAAATGCACATATTGGTCTCTGCCCCTCTTCCTGGCACAAAGCTCCAAAAACTCTTATAAGTCCCTAAGTGATAAGAGCCCGAGGGCAGCTTTTGTTCTAATGAACTGAGTCTTGGTGGGTCCTGAATGGGGACTGGTCACCAGATAGACCCAACCATGATTAGAAGGTTGGAACTTTCCACTTCCAATCCCTCATTCTCTGGAGAAGGAAGAGGGCCTGGAAATGGAGTTAATAATCATCATACTTATGTGACGAAGCCTTCATGAAAGTCTCAATAACAGGGGGTCCGGAGAGCTTGGGGAACACACCCACAAGGAGAGGTTAGTGCACTTCATTTCCATGGGGACAGAAGCTCTTGTGCTCTGGACCCTTCTGGACTACATCACATACACACACATATGTTCATCTGGCTATTCACCTAATAAACCAGTAAATGTAAGCAAGTGTTTCTCTTTGTTCTGTGAGCTGTTCTAGAAAGTGACCAAATTTGAGAAGGAGATCATGGGAATCTGTGATTTATAGCTGGTTGGTCAGTACAGGTGGCAATCTGGGACTTGCAATAGGCATCTAAGTGAGGGGCAGTCTTGCGGGACTGAACCCTTAAGCTGTGGGGTCTGCACTAATTCTGGGTCGTTAATATCAAGATTGAACTGAATTGTAGGCCATTCAGGTGATGTCACAGAAAATTGCTTGAATTGCTTGTGGGGAAAACCCCACACCGTTGGTGCCAGAAGTGTGGCAAGTGTGGTAATAGTGTGAGGGTACAGGAGAAACATAGGCAAGTGTTTCCCAGACCCCGGGGACGGCCACTGCCTGCCCCCACCCTGCCCCTTCCCTCTCAGGCCTGGGCCAAGGGAGCAAAAAGCCTTTAGGTCACTATCTCCCAGGGGACAAAGGCTCAGAGGGGCATCTTGAGGCTTCCTTGAAGCCCCTGCAGGATTGGGAGGAGCGAGTCACCCGGTGGTCTCTGGAGAAGGCCTTTGCAAACTGTAGGCTATGACTCATGAACAAGTCAATGGAATATTCCATGGATCCTGAGCAGAATTTTATGTTTTTAAAAGAATTAGAATGCAGTAACCCAGCACATCAGACAACAGAATAGAAAATATCAGAGTATATCACATGCATAGAGGGTCAGTATTGTTTTGTCAAGCATTCGTCTTAGGTCCTCTTGCAAAAAATGTATTCTTTACTGAACTCTTGTAATGGATGTACTGTTCTTTCCCACCAGTATGGGCATCTCCCTAATTCTCTACTAGGAATAGGGATTCATTTTAGAAAAAAATTATCTTCATGCAGTTTAAAAATTATTGAAAAAGAAACAAAGAGAGACTGGAAAGTTAAAAAGAAGTCACCTTGGACCTTCAACTGAGGGGCACATACATCCACACTGGCCCCCTGGTTTGGTGAGCAGGAGGCTGATTGGGGTGTGCTTAGGGTCATGTACAAGCTGACTTCTTGGGTCAGGTAAAACCAGTCCCCCTGCATCTCAAAATTTGGATGGAGGAGGCGGAGGAAGGTGGAGAGAAAGCTATACCTACCCAAGGAATTCAAGGAAAAACATTTCCTGCCTCAATTCCAGTGTGTTTTCAAGCTGCCCTTCCCTGCACCTGCCTCCTCTCCTGAGAAATCTGACCAGTGGGTCCCACCTTACCAGGGAGGAAGACAAATCATATCATTCTGTATCTCTCTTGGGTATCCTCTTCTCTATTTGCATGGAGATTAAGCTATGCAATGCCTATTAGCAGAATATTGAATTTGAGTAATGCACATCCATATTGGGGTAAACCAGAATTTGTTTCTTCCGAGGTGTAGGTAAGGGGGCATCCTCACTGACCTGAGCAGCACCCACCACTCTGCAGCACTAGGCAGGGCATGTTATGTGTGACTTCTATCCCTGGACTCAGCTGATCCCACACCCTCCTTCCTGGTGCCCCCTCTCTGGTGCCTGTGATGGCACACACTGGGGCCTGAGTCTCCCATGCCTCTGTGCCCCCCACTCTTCCACCAACCCAATGTGTCTCTATCCTCCTCTGCCCCCACTACCACTAGGACCCTGCCCTCCTTCCCTGCATGCTACCTTTCTGGGGGTTCCCTCTCTTGGAAAAATGGCCCCACTTTCTCCACCCTGAGATTTGGGGCAGAACCTGGAGCTCATTTCTGGCCCTGTCTCCCACCTCCACACATGCCTGTCTCCTTCATGTCTCTGAAATCACGGTGAGTTCTAAATTCAGTCCTTTTTCTTTTAAGATTTATTTATTTATGCATACAAGAGCTGGGACACAGGCCAGAGATATGGGGGGGGTGGTGGTACAGGCCAGAGATGCCAGAGACAGAGTGGGGAACTGAACAGGCAGACTGACTGAAATACACTGCTGAGGGGAGCAGTCGGCGAGCCAGGAGAGGTCTGCCGCGCCATGTGGGTAGCTCCCTGCCAACTGGGGATCGAACTCGTGCTGCAGAGGCTGTGGATTGCTTCAAAGTGCAGTGCTTAACCCTTTGCGCCACCAGGGAGGCCCCCAGTCCTTTTTTTTTAAGATTTATTTATGTATGCATACAAGAACTGGGGTACAGGCCAGAGTGAGGGGTGGGGGAGTGTTGAGAGGATTCATCAGAGACATTGGGGAACAGAACAGGCAGACCGACTGAAATACACTGCTGAGGGGAGCAGCGGGCGAGACAGGAGAGGTTTGCCGTGCCATGTAGGCTGCTCCCTGGCTGCCGGGTTTGAACTCGCTGCAGAAGCAGTGGATAGGTTCACAGTGCTGTGCTCAACCCCTTGCGCCACCAGGGAGGCCCTAAATCCAGTCCTTGCACAATCCAGTTGTAGCAACTCTGGCAAGGAGCCTAACAGCTCTCTGTATTTCATCTGTAACATCATAGTGATGATAGTGTCCACCCTTAGGGAATGGTTGCGAGGATAAATGGGAGAATCTGGAGATGTTTAGTATCAGTCCAAGATGGTTATCAAGGAAGGTGGGCTGAGAGGGGGAGACCTCTGTGAACCAGACTTCCCCATTCCTACAGATGCTGTTCCTGGCCTGGAATGCAGATCCTTGGGCCTGTGGCCTGTCCCACACAGAGGTATGATCTTGAGTAATAAGACATTATTAATAGAGCAGACAAGGACTCAGGTAAACCGGATGTTCTCTGCTACACAGCTCCCAGGAGCTGGTTCTACGGGGAGGGTGACCCCTGTGAGGAAGGCTGGGCCTCGCGGGGAGGGTTTATGTGGGTGTTCACATCTGCCCACAACCCCGGCAATGCCTCTTTCCCTACCCATCTGCACGGTCCCCACTGATCTCTGTGTCTAGAGTGCCACAAAGGGACAATTTTCTTAGGCTTTTCTGTCTCCCAGGGTAAGGTCCTCCCGGGCAGGGTCATCCATGACAGAGGGCTTTGGGAGACCCACTTCCGGGCAGTTGTGTGGACAGTGGCCCAGCATGCGACCTCCCCGTCGTCATACTGTGCGCATGGGACAGATACACCCAATTCCAGCAACCACGGTCCCAAGTAGGAGTCACAGTCCAAGGCAAACCTCGACTGCCATCTTCTCCTCCCAGGAGCCCATCATTTACTGCTTTACAGTGCCTCCCACCTTTGGTCCAAATCTATTGGGAGGAGGTGGGAGGAAGGCGGGGGGTGGGGCTCAGCTGAAGGGTCACCTTACAGGGCTCTGTGGGAGCTGGGAGGTCAAGGTGATTCAGTGTATGGTCAAAACTGTGCCAATCCTGCCTCCATGTGAGGCTAGTGTTTAATGTCTTGTGCAAGTCACTTTGGTGACCTCTGTTGACAGCCTTAATGTTCCCTGGCAGGCATAATATTCTCAAAAAACTTTCTCTGTTCCCTTCCCCAGAGCCAACTGCTCCATTTCTGCAGCCTGGAATGATTCACGTGGGAGAGGATTATTGCTTTCTTGACTCTTTGTCTCCACTCCTAACCCCCAACCCCCTGACTGTGACTCTCCTGAGAGGCACTTTCATGCCTTTGTCCAGTGAACTTTTCCCATCTGTTGTTCCCTGCATCATGATTAAGTGGACTTTTCCATTCCTGTCCACCACAAGCCCCACAATGGAACGCTCCTTCCTCCATACTCCTCATTTGACACTTCCAAATGGATGATTCCAGCCTCTGACCCTGAAGATATTACAGAGAGCAAAGGTCAAGGTGCTCAATCATCTGCTTCAGAATCCCGGAACTGGGGTATATAGTGTTCATCAAAATAAAAATTGGAAACATGCCCCACTAGAATTATCACTCCATGTGGGCAGGGACATTTGTCTCTCTTGTTCCCCGATGTCTATTCAGCACCTCGAACAGCGCCCAGCAGACAGTCCTTGTTCATTAGGTGTTTGTTGAATAACTGAACCCTTTGACGCTGCAATTCTGCTTCCAAGAATATGTGCTAAAGCAACACATAAACATGCACAGAATTCTGTGCATAAGAATGAGAGGAGAAAACAACTGGGAAACATCTGCAAACATTTATTGACTTCTAGTCACTGACACAGAGTAAGTGAATAATATGGGGTCACAGCATGGACCACATGCTGAAAGAGAATGCTGGCACAAGAAGGAGAATCCCCACTGGGGAAAAGCAGGTGGGAGATGCTCATGTTATATACTCTGCGTGTATGTATATAAATGCAGAGAAAAACATCTGGAATTAAATACCCAAAACTGTCCTTAGTTTAAATTTCTAAAGAAGGCAGTGCTGTTCTATGCAGAGAATACTTGACAATATTTGTTTTCTGAGCTAAGGGCATGGATACATGGAGACATAGAAACAGATGTGCATTAAGCATGTATCTTGCTCATTAACAAAACTTTAATATCTAACAAAGCGTTTGGCACACAGAAAGAAAAAATCTTGCTTAAATTTTCTCTGGTGCGAACTCTTTTTTTTTTTTTATCTGATGGTCAGGAGTTCACAGCCATGTCCACATTCATGAAAGGCCACCAAGTTCTGCTTCTTATCATGGGCACGCTTTACATCCCTGAGACTGAGGCAAGGAGAGAAAGGGAGAATCAGCAGCCGTGAGCCCCCCACGCCTGATAAAGGAGCACCCAACTCCTTATCCTGGCCTGCAGGGCCCTGTGGACTCCCCGTTCTATCTCATGACCACACATACTGCCCACTGTTTCTCAGAGGAACCTTCTGTTCATGCCACAGCAACTTTCATTGGTCTTGAGAGTTCCTAGGCTAGAGGACAGTGTGACCCACCTGTGAGGTGCTGACCTGGGGTTTGGGAGCCCATAGCATATCTTGGGCAGGGAAGATCCCTGGATATAGGAGGCAGGGAGTAGAAAGAGATCTCACCCTAATCTTTTCTTTTAAAGATTTACTTAATTTATTTATGCATACAAGAGCTGGAGTGTAGGCCAGATGTATGTGGCGGGGGTGTGTGTGTGAGAGGATTCGCCAGAAACAAAGTGGAGAGCGGAACAGGTGGACCGACTGAATACACTGCTGAGGGGAGCAGTGGGAGAGACAGGAGAGGTCTGCTGCACCATGTGAGTTGGCCCCTTGGCCAGGGATTGTACTCGTGCTGCAGTGGCTGCTGATAGCTTCTTAGTGCTGAGACTTAACCCCTTGCACCACCAGGGAGGCCCTCATCCTAATCTTAATGCTGCGCCTCAAGAAACTAGGAAAGAGGAGTGATTTGGGGAACAACGACAAGATATCAATACCACGATAGGGCCACCCTGGTGGCGCAAGGGGTTAAGACGCAACCTATGAGGCTATCCGCAGCCACTGCAGCACGAGTTCGAGCCCTGGTCGGCCAGGTAGCTACCCACATGGCACAGCAGACCTCTCCTGCCTCTCCCGCTCTTCCTCTCAGCAGTATATTTCAGTCAATCTGCTTATTTTGTTCCTCACTCTGTCTCTGGTGAATCCTCTCACCACCCACACCTCTGGCCTGTACCCCGGTTCTTGTATGCATAAATAAATAAATATTTAAAAAAATACCATGATAGAACATTGCATTTTTCAGGGGTGTGGGGACAGACTGAAAAGTCACTTACAGTTAGTCTTCTTCCTCAGGATCACTGATCTCTTCATAGACTATTTGGTTCTTCCTTTCTCGCAACCTGCAGGCCCAGACATCGTTCTTTCTTTTATTTGATCCTGTGGTGGAGAAGAGTTGGTAAATGGAGTTTGGGTGGGTTGGTAGAGTGTTAAGCCTTCATATTTTTGGTTAAGAAGAAGATTCCTCCCTTCCAAGTACCCATGGGCCTTCTATACAGTTTGTTTTTCACACCTTCTTTTTTTTTATTTTAGTTTCCTAATTCACTTTATCTTGTTCAGAAAAATGGAGACATTAGATCTGTACCAACATAGCAGCTGGACTTCAGATTTTGGTTCCTCCCATTGTCAGGTTTAGACTAACAGCCTCTTTACCTACAGACCATTCATTTAGACCTTCTTTCATTCAGCATATATTTATTAAGGGCGTATTGTATATCAGCCATGGGACTGAGAGCTGAGTAAGATATGCTCCCAGGTGATCACATATAGAATTACTCAAGCACCTTTCATGTCACCAGCCCTTCTAGATTTCATTTAAATCCTTGGCATAACTGATGAAGCTATGACTCTTTATTTCCATTTTGGGGACTAGGAGTCTGGAGCACAAAGAATTGAGACTTGCCAACAGTTCCACAGCTGTTACATCAATGAAATCTCAAGTTTGTCACTCTGGAAGTCGTGTTCTAACATCTCAGCTGGAGCTGGGTGAGCTCCTCAGTGTAGCCTGGGTGAGGCCTGTCCAGGATCCACCCCCATGCCTAGATCACATACTTGAATGTAGCCAGAGAAGCCAGAGGAGTTGTTCCCAAAACCTCCTTTTACCCGATGTCTTACTACTCTGCTGATCACAGTTACCTGCTTTTCCTGAGTGGCATAGTTGTTTCAGTTTGTTCTCTGAGCCAGGTGTTACCAGTTTCAAATCATCTTCTTCCTCTTCTGGCATCTTGGTCATCACCTTTTCAATGTGAAGGTCACAGATAAACAGCGTTAATGGCAGGTCTCTCATGCTTTAGAGTTTATAAAGAGTCTTCACATACAGCACCTTAATTAACATCCTCAGCAACCCTGGGGGATGGCTACATTACCTGTACCTAAGTTATGAGGAATCTGGGAGGTTAGGACGAATGGAATGGCCTAAATGACGAGTGTTCCAGGACTAGCACGCTCGTCTTCATGCTTGTTACAGACTGACACTCTCACAAACCGCAGAAATCTTCATGCAAGTGGGAGTGTGGCCTAAGGAGATTTGGGGAAGAATGTTATTCTAAGGATCCACAAGTTCTATAAAAAAAGAGGGGCCTCTAGAGAACATAAGGGATTGCAGAAAATTAGTAGACAGCTGCTGGGAGAGCATGTGTGAAAATGTACAAAGGGCATAAATACTGCTGGAAAACGGTGTGTGAGAGATGACTATAAGGAAGGGAGAGGAAAGGAATTATTCAAGGAATTTATGATCCAGATAGCAAAGAAAGTGATCCCAGACACCAAAAGTAAAGGCCTCAAAAGCCAAAATAAACAAAGTGGGACTACATCAAACTAACAAGCTTCTTCACAGCAAAGGAAACCATCTACCAAATGAAAAGGTAACCAACCAAGTGGGAGAAAATATTTGCAAATCATAGAACCGATAAGGGTTAATATCTAATAAGCATAAAGAACTGATACAATTGAATAGCAAAAACTCAGCCAGATGAAAAAACAGGCAGAGGAGCTGAATAGACATTTTCCCAAAGACATACAAATGGCCAACAGGTACATAAAAAGATGTTCAACATCACAAATGTCATTGACCAACCTTAAGCTACCTTTCATACAGCTCCCTCTTTAATGAAACAGTGAACAATAAATGTAAAACAAGCTAAGCGAAAGTACTTTCTGAGCTTGTAAACACTATTTAAATGTGCTAATAATAAAAATGAGTACTTTTGGGGCCTCCCTGGTGGCGCAGGGGTTAAAGACAGCACTATCAAGCTATCGCCAGCCACTGCAGCACAAGTTCGAGTCCCCGGCCAGCCAGGGAGGTGACCCACATGGTGCAGCAGACCTTCCCTCTCTTGCCCGCTGCTCCCCTCAGCAGTGTATTTCAGTCAGTCTGCCTGTTCTGCTCCCCACTCTGTCTCTGGTGAATCCTCTCACCCCCTGGCCTACACCCCAATTCTTGTATGCATAAATAAGTATTTTAAAAAACGAATACTTTCTCTCATGATACTTCTGTGAATTCTCTGGCAATCCAAGCCCCAGATCCCTTTACCCTCCAAACTAGAGCTTAATCTGCAGTTGTGGAATCACTTATTCAATAAACATTCAGGCACCGTCATTGGGTACCCGTGTTCTGGGACTGAGGCTTCAGAGATGTCTCAGCCGCAGATGAGCCTCTGAAGAAGCTCACAGAAGGATCAATAGTCCAAACAACTCCCAAATCACATGAGGTGACCCTGTGACAGTGCAGAGGGGAGGTGGTACTTCCATGGGTTAAAGCCCCAGGGGGAGCACTTGAACTTCATAAACATATGGAAAAGTTCATGAGTTTGGAGATGCTTTTGCAGTTTTGGAATAGACTACCACTGCCACCGTGGTGGTCTTAGGCAAATTACTGAACACCTCTAGACCACAACATCCTCCTCTTTATTATTTTTACATTTAACAATAATAGTATACTCATCACTATTTGGGGATGATCCTACTAACAATGTCATAGTGGTTTTCTTAAGGATTAAAGAAATTAATCCACATGAGTTTCTTAAAATAATACCTGGCATTGCTATGAGAGCAAAACAAGTATCAGTTACCACACTGTTAATTATTCTCAGGCTACTACATCAGGCACTAGAGATCAGCACAGGAAGGTAGTGAGGGCCAGGCCATTTTCAATATTCTCCTGCTCTTACCAATATTCACATCCATGGAGAAAGGATCCTTTAGATTTGGGAGATACTCACCCTGTGCTTTCTCTGTTGCACACTGAAAACATCCTGAGGAGGTTCATCTAAAAGAAAGTGACAAATTAGCAGTTTTCTTTGTTGGCAAATAATCCCCAAATTGGCAGAGACTCCCGTAGTCTGAATTCTGCAGCTGAAGGTTATGGACCCACTCCCTGTCAAGGAGTTATTTTGAGACTGGCTTTTGAATTATCTTTAATAATGGTTTATGCATTTATTTGCAGCACGAATTCATTATTTTCCTTCTGGTCATTTATAAGTTGTGAACTAACCCTGTCACTGCTGCATCCTATTCCCTGAAACCTATCCCCTGGCCTGCCGCCCCAGAATTAATTGATTGATTGGGAATTTGAACTATATCCACTACGGATGTACAACAACTAAAAATCACTGTACACTTAAAAGTGGGTGAATTTTATAGTATGTCAATTATATGTCAATGAAGTTGTTAAGTGTGTGAGGAACCATGGATTGTATCAAGTATAAAGACATCCCTTTAATGTCAAAAAACTAAGATTTTCAGCCTCCTCACAGTAATTTTGTGAGCTTGTGAAGTTGGGCCTGTTTAGCTCGGGAGTCGTAGGTCTATATTGGAGATAGTTTAAACATTCTGAGTTTGTGTTCTTACAACTATACTGTGAGCAGAAGAGCGAGTAAGCACATCCTGCCTCCTTTATAATGAGTACACACACTTCTCAGATGCACAAAGACCTCTAGAATCTGTTTTTTTCCACTCTGTTGCCTCTGCTCACTGGTAAGTGCGGAAGTTCAGTGTGTGTGTGAAGGATAGCTTCTTAACTCTTCTCTGGAGCTGAACACAGAAAATCAGTTTGAATGGTAAATAGGTTTTGGTAAAACACGGGTGAATAGCTATATGTCATTATATAATGTGTTAATCACTTTCTCTCAAAATTTTTATCCAGTATTTGTGTATTTATATATAATTGGTTCTGGAAGTTTTGGGTGGAGTTACAATTTTAGCAAGAAAAAGAACTTTTAAAAAGAAATGTTTCCGACAGGCAACATTATTCATGGAGAATAATACTGGAAACACATGCACCTCCACCATTGCATCAGCAGGGTCTCAGTATGATCCCACAACTGCTCAGATTGCTCTGAGATCTTTATCAAAATATAAACAAACTCTAGAAATAAGTCACAGCTGAAACCATCTGTGCAGCCTCACCGATCCCTGCCCTCCCTTTCTCCACTTTTGATTTGATGGATTTTATTCTCATTCAGGTTTTTTTTTTATAAAAGATTTATTTATTTATTTATTTATTTATTTATTCATTCATTCATTCATTCATTTATTTATTTATACAAGCACTGGGTACAGTCAGAAGTGCGGGAGGGTGAGAGAATTCACCAGAGCCAGAGCGGGGAACAGAACAGGCAGACTGATGAAGTACACTGCTGAGGGGAGCAGCAGGCAGCAGGAGAGGTCTGCGCTCCATGTGGGACCCTCCGGCGGCCGGGGAGCAGCTGGGGATCAAAACGGTGCTGCAGAGGCTGCGGGCAGCTTTGCAACCCAGTGCTCAACCGCTGCGCCACCGGAGAGGCCCTCATTCAGGTTTTTATACCGTTTACTTATCCATAAAAATATATAGTCATGTGCTGCCTAATGACAGTTCATTTAATGATGGATGACAGAGGTCCCAATAAACTAGACCATATGGCCTAGGTGTGTGGCGGGCCAGACCATCTGGGTCTGTAATTACATTCTATGACATTCATGCAACGATGAAATCGCCTACCGACGCATTTCTCAGAACGGATCCCTGTCCTTAAGCAACACATGAGTGCATGCTCTTGTTTTGCACGTTTTAGAATTTTAAATGAATGGCCTCTGACCCCTTTCCCTTCGGACATGGTATTTTTGAGGGAACAAACTCCCGAGGCTCTTTCCCAGGTAGCTGGACCCAAAGCAATAGGACTTCAGGGTACCCTTTCTGGGCCCTTCCTGTCACTTACTTTGATTCCCAAGGTTCCCATCCTCATAAGAGTCATAGTCACGGAATTTTTTGGTCCGTTTTTTAGGACACATGAAAGCTGGGAGAGCGGCTCTGAGACCTAGAAAGAAACCAAATGTTTGTAGACACCCTAAGGGGAAGAGAGCAGGATGGGGATGTTGAAAGGCAGCAGAACAGTAAAGTCCAGCCGAGGCGAGGGTGGAGGTGGGGGTGCAGGAGTACCCTACACTGGCCAGTGGGAGCAAAGCATGCCGGAGCCAGGGATTCAGCTCTGAGCATCTGTGTGGCCATTCCTGGTCCTCCGTCCTGCACAGGATATCAGAGCAGAGCACCCTGAAACTGCCTTGTGGTTTCTCTCCTCATAAAGGGAAAGTGTGGAACCCTTTGTTGCAGCCTAAGCAGAAGCCATGGCACATAAAAGGGCTGGTGTGTGTGTGTGTGTGTGTGTGTGTGTGTGTGTGTGTGTGTGTGTGTGATGTGTGATGTGTTTCTAGGCTTGTCTGGGCCCAGAGTATCCTGTTACCTAGACCAGTCATGGTTTCGTAGTTTCTCTTCATATAGACATAAGTGGTTTTCTCCGAGTATCCCAGCTTTTCCCACTCTTCCTTAGAAAAGTATTTAGAAATATCCTTGAAGGCCTAGAAAAGAAAGAACTATAAATCCCAGCAGCCACTCAGTTAAACACGTTGAACTTCTGCAGAGGCCTCTTCCCCCGGGGCAGATCTGTGTGTTGGATCTGTGAACTGGGGATAATAATCCCTCCTGGTTCATGTCCCAGCTGACTAAGAGAACATGGTAACAATCCTGAGCCTCTCCCCTGCATGCAGTAGGCACTTAAGGTTGCTGGTATGCTCTCCTTTCACCTTCCAGAATGGATGGAAAGTCACAAATGCAGTGCAAGGTCAGAAGCCTGTTGTTTCCACAGTTACCAGGTGAGGACAGAGTGAGAGTGGGAAGCTCCTCAGGCTCTGGATCTCCGCCTGAAATTCTGCTCCTTGTCCACAGTCCCTTTGATCGCACCTTCTCAGAAATCTACATTGTCCCCCAGACCATTCCTCGTCCCTCTCCAGATCACCTCACCTCGCATTTCTTCAATTTCTGAGACTGCTCCTTAGGACTTGTTACAAAGGAGCTGCTTATGTTCATGGTGCTGGGGACAGTCTGGTCTCAAAGGGTCACAGACCGTGTCTCTCCAGTCACAAGGCCAAAGGTCCTGTGGAGAGAGAAAGCATTGAGGGAGGGCCAACCTCAGTCACCTGGAATCAAGCTTCTGCTTTTCTCCCTCCTAAGCTTATCTGCCCCTGAGAAAGGTCATGGGGTGAAGTCAGATGAAAACAGGGGATTACAGGGGCCTCCCTGGTGGTGCAAGTGGTTTAGTGTCAGCACTAAGAGGCAATCCGCAGCTACTACAGCACGAGTTTGATCCCCAGCCAGGGAAGTGACCCACATGGTGTGGCAGACCTCTCCTGTCTCCCCGCTGCTCCCCTCAGCAGTGTATTTCAGTCAATCCTCTTGTTTTAGTCCCTACTCTGTCTCTGGTGAATCCTCTCACCCTCCACACCTCTGGCCTGTACCCCAGATCTTGTATGCATAAATAAACAAATCTTCAAAAAAAAAAAGAATGAAAACAGAGGACTACAATGGCCTAGGGTAAAGGACTATGGGTGCTTTGATGGTGAGGGTGGTGTGGCCACACACACACATCTGGGGAGGTGTGAACCTATTCTCCTAAATCATATATAGTGTTTTAAACCAATGTTACCCCAATAAAAATATTAAATAAATAAAAGAAAACAGGGGACCAGACCTCTCTGGGAGAAGTAGGATTAGAGATGACCTGCTTTTCTAGAGAAAAATAGCCTCGGGCCTTGGGGATGGGGGTGGATATTGTTAGTAGTTTGCCTGGAATTTGGCCTATCCTGAAGGAAATATATAAAGACCTTCGTTGGGGAAGTAGTGGCGGGAGTATGTAATTTTATAGAGAGGGTGTGTTTTGAGCCAAAGTGGTGTGTGTGTGTGTGTGTGTGTGTGTGTGTGTGTTTGTGTGTGTGTGTGTAAGTACCAGAGCTCATATGGTCTGTCTGACTGATGGGCTTGGGTTTTCAGGCAGAAGGATGTGGCTTCTGCTCAGTTGAAGAGAAACGAGGATTGCTGAGAAGAGTGAATTTGAAGCTCTCCCTGGATATTTGAAAATGATTTGCGTGAAGAGAACTAGAATCTCTGAGACTACTGGACCAGCCATCACTCAGGCTGAGAATGTAGAGAGTTAGTAGTCTCTTAGGGGGAGAAAATTTAGGGGTTTCTTAGGCCAAGGAGATCGCGGCTTTATCTCAGAAGAGGTAATTGAGGAGAATCTTAAGCAGCGGCTATTCTATCTGGTTCAGGAAATCTAGGGGTGTCTGGATAATTGTGGGGCTTCTCAGGTTGAGGGGTGTTCTGTTTCCCTAAGAAAGAGCAATTAGGGAGCCTTACACACTAAAGAGGGTTTATTTTTGCTCAATGGGCATCCATCGCCCTGAAAGGCTTGAAGTCGTCTCTCAGATATGAGGAGGTTGGGAAGCACAGAAAAAAGCCAATCTACAAAGAGTCCCAGCTTTTCTCCCTCCCCTCCCCTAAACCTGTCCAGAGAGGGCCTCGGAGAGAACCTACCTCAGAAGCGAAGCAGACGCTCAGGTCCCTCCGTGAGGAGACGAGATCTCGACTTCAAGCGTCCAAAGACAATTGACCAATCAGAGCAGCTGGTGAACTTGATCTGGCCAATCAGAGGTCGGGAAAGTAGGCGGGACAAGTGAGACAGGAGTGGGGTCTATCAGTCCAGACTGCAGGGACAGGACCGGCTTCCCGAAACGGGCGGAGATCGACTTTCCCGCTCCACGTGAGTTTGCCTTCGCACCAGAGCTGGTTACTCAGGGCTCCGTAGGTCAGCACGCATGCTCGGTTCTCTGTCGTTGGGGCTGTGCATTTGTTGTTTAATAAATGGTGTGGATAAGGCTGGTTTCCACCTCGGTCTTTGCCATCAGTCTCTGATTCCCTCAGATGTGGGGTCTTTCCTAGGACCTTTCTCTCTAGTAACTTAAGAATTTTTAAACATTTTTTTCCCTAAAGAGTTTTCGATATGTGCTTTTTCTTGAAGACCCAAAAACCAGAAACATGTAGCCCTTAATACCAATATTTATAGCAAACGTATGCAAAAGAGTATGTATTTAGGGCTTCATGTGTCCCTCGGCCTTAGAAATGACTTTCTTTTTTTTTTTAATAAGTGGGGTACAGGCCAGAGTTGGGGAGGGTGAGAGGATTCACCAGAGAGCGTGAGGAGCAGAACAGGTAGATGTACTGAGACACACTGCTGAGGGGAGCAGCAGGCGAGACAGGAGAGGTCTGCTACGCCATGTGGGTTGCTCCCCCGCCCCCACAGGGATCCAACCACCCCCCTGTGCCACCAGGGAGGCCCCAGAAATGACTTTCTTTAGGAAGTCCCCCCAACCGCCACCGCCAGTGCCTCCAGTGGTCCCCAAATCCTGTTGGGCTTTCCATCCACAGTCCTGACCTCTCTAAATTGCTCCTTGAAGAATGATGGAACTCTCTGTCAGGGATAGGGCAGTGAACCTTCTGCCCAGCGCCAAGTCCTTTATGTGCATTATCCCATTTAATTTCCCTCGAGTCAGTACCATTATCACCTCCAGTGTGCAGATGTTGAGAGTGAGGCTCAGAAAGTTAAGCAACCTGATCAAGTTCATACAATCAGCAGGTGGCAGAGGTGGAATTCACCCCCAAGTTGGATTGAGTTCAAAGCCTGTTTTGAATTATTCTTCCATATTGCCTCTTATTTTTTGGTTGGTTGAATGAATGAATGAATGCATCTTAAAACTACACAAGACCTTTAACAGAATCACACAATCTCCTACAGCCACCCATAATTTCCTGTGACTGCTGTAACAAATTGCCAAAGACTTCATGGCATAAAACAATATAAATCTATTCTCTTACAGTTCTGGAGGTCAGAAGTCTGAAGTTAGGTTCACGGGGCTGAAACCAAGGTATTGCAGGGCTGTGTTCCAATCTCTCCAAATTCTCTAGGAGAGAATCTGCTCCTGGCTGCTTTCAGCTTCTGGTGGCCGCCAGGAGTCCTCGGGTTGTGTCTGCATCATTAAAACATACCTCTGTGGTCACATTACTTTCTTCTGTCAGTGTTAAATCTCCCTCTGCTTCTCTTAGGACACCCAGATAATTCCCTTATCTCAAGACCTTTAACGTAATCATACCTGGAAAATCCTTTTTGTCATAGTCAGGTAACACTCATAGGTTCTAGTAACTCAGGTGTGGCTTTTTTGCCTCATGTCATGAGCCAGCCTCAAAATAAGGTTGGGTGTGCAGAGGTTTCAGAAGGGTCAGGAGAATCAGAGTGGAGCAGGTTTCACAACAGCAGTGAGCCAGAAGGACAATCCTTCTGGGTAGGCCTTCCTTTTTTTTTTTTAAAGATTGATTGATTTATTTATACAAGCACTGGGTACAGTCAGAAGCGCGGGAGGGTGAGAGAATTCACCAGAGCCAGAGCGGGGAGCAGAGCAGGCAGAAGGACCGAAGTACACTGCTGAGGGGAGCAGCAGGCGGCAAGAGAGGTCTGCGCGCCATGTGGGACCCTTGCCGGCGGCTGGGGATTGAACCGGCACTGCAGAGGCTGCGGGCAGCTTCACAACCCAGCACTCAACCACTGCGCCACCAAGGGAGGCCCCGGGTAGCCCTTCTTGGTCTCCTTTCATTACAGCGTGGACTGGACCTGATCAAGCTCTGGCTCTCCCGCCGGCTCTGCTCCCACCAGATTCCTAGAAGCTCACACTTGACATGCCACAGCGCCTAAAATTTGTAAAGCCCAAAATAACAAAACTCAGTGGTTTTGTTATTTTGGGCTCTTGGAGACACCCAGGTCCTCTCGAAGTTACTGAAGTGTACTTGCCACTCAGGGGCTCCAGACCAGGGCATAGAGCAGGCTGGTCTGTGCCCCCTTTTGTGCCGACTTGATAAAGGGGGAGAAGACCAGCCAGAGCAGGCACAGCAGGAAGGAGTGCAGACCGGCCTGGTGCAGATGATGTCTATGATAAGTGCACTCCGCGGCGGGTGGTCCCTGTGCCTGGCCACCTCTTGACCAGCTCTCCAGTGAAAATCACATTGGCCAACTTGCTGCGGCAATAAACAAAACCCTAACTGTAGACTACTCACTCCGAGGGATATGGAAGCGAATCTTGCCTGTGTGGTGGGCCACAGAGAATGGGTTGGCTACCTGTGCAAGAGCAGACTCCTCCAGTCACTCCAGGGACAAACGGGTGGGAAGGAAGTGGTCTAGGTGGGTGACTCCCAGGGGAGTTTCAAAGCCATCGACTGTCTTGGGATATGAACATATCACTCCTGCATAGTTGATCAGAGTACGGACCTGCCTTCCCTCTGTCCGAATGTCTCCCGAAAATGTCCGCATGGATTTGGTCAGAGATAGCTTTGGTTTCTGCACCAGTCCCTGCTCTTCATATCAGCTCAGATTCCATGGGAGGCAGACTTGCCCTTTAGTCTAGCTCAGCAAGCAAAACAAGTCAGGCTCCTCTGCCCGCGAGCTTGCGGGCTCCCTTTGCCATACCTCTTGGCTCGGTGATCATCACTACCTTCTTGGGAGGTTGCTTGTTTGTTCTTCAACCCCCACCAGCAAAGAACTTCCAGCTGGATGGGGCTATTATATACAGGAAAGAAAGGAAGGAGGTGAGTAGTTTCCAGATAACCAGCATCTTTCCAACTTCTTGGGTTGCTGCTGCTTTAGCAAAGGCAGCTTTGGCTTCAACTTGGCTGAGGCTCCTGATCTGGCTCCAACTCTTGGCTGCATCTCATTGCTTCCCCCTGCTCTAACTTCTCTTGGCTCAGCAGCTGCTCGTCCTGCCTCTTATAAGGATACGTATGATTACATTTAGGGCCCACCCAGGATATCCAGGATAATCTCAAAAGCCTTAACTTAATCAAATCTGTAAAGAACCATTTTTGGAACAGGTGACATTTTCGGGTTCCAGGGATTATGACCTAGTATCTTTGGGAACCATTATTTTGCATGCTACAAGGAATAAATCAGAACTTGTTCTGAAGTTCTGGAGTCTTTGGGGAGGAGTAACTGGAGCTCTTTGAGACCAGATGGAGTGGGAGGTAGTTCAGCTTGGTTGGAGAGATGTGGGGTCGGCAGGCAGATCAAAGTTCACTCCTGGGTCCCAACACCCAATGAATGAGTGACCTTGAAAGTTACTTAACCTCCTGAACTTTCTTCCGCTGTGAAATGAAGTAATAGCTGCACCTCAGGGATGTTGTAATTTGTATTTGTAAAGCGCCTAGCATGGGGCAAGGCCCGTTTGAGTGATCAATGAACATTAGCTGTTATTATTGAATCATAAGCACATTAATAATGATACCATGCATTTCTTCTCTGGTTACTCTATTCTGGGTTCCCAAGGAGTCTTAACCTAACTTAACCCAAGACTATGGAGATGGTCTTATTGCCCCACATCACAGATAAAGACTCACGAGGCCAGGATTTGCCCAAAGTGAGACAGTCAACATACAGTCGAGAAAGGATGGAAGATCACGTCTTTTGATCTTTTGCCACAATGCTAATCTGTACCACAGGAGGAGATCCTAAACCACAGCACCCTCTGAGAACACGTGTAAAGAACAAGATATATCAGAAAGCAGATAGTCTGTAGCCAACTGTGTGGAAGGACTTGCTGACTGTGGGGTGGCAGACCTGTGTGGGAAACAGAGTTCACTGTGCTCAGTATTTTTCCACAAGGAGAATTGGGGAAGGCCTCCCTAGTGGTGCAAGGGTTAAGCATCAGCATTATGAAGCTATCCGCAACTACTGCAGTGAGTTCAATCCCTGGCCAGGGAGCTGACCCACATGGTACAACAGACCTCTCCTGTCTTGCCCACTGTTCCCCTCAGCAGTGTATTTCAGTCAGTCTGCCTGTTCTGCTCCCCACTCTGTCTCTGGTGAATCCTCTCACCCACCCACCCTCACTTCTGGCCTGTACCCCAGTTCTTGTATGCAAAAATAAATAAATATTAAAAAAAACCCAGAGAACAGGGGAGACACCCTCCACTGGTGGTAGAGACTGAAACTTGTGTGAGGGAAAGGTCTGTATCTTGCACCTGGTTACAGAGGGTCTTCTGATTCTAGGATGGATGTATGAAAAGGTTAACATTATGTGACTTGGGAAATTTCCCACAATTCCCCAGGTATATTGTTTCTCAAGCCCAAGATTCTATTGCTCTGTTGCATACTTTCACTTCTTTTTTATTTTATTTATTTAAAAAATTTTAAAGATTTATTTATTTATGCATACAAGAACTGGGGTATAGCCCAGAGGTGTGGGAGGGTAAGAGGATTCACCGGAGACAGAGTGGGGAACAAAACAGGCAGACTGACTGAAATACGCTGCTGAGGGGAGCAAGGGGAGAAAGGAGAGGTCTGCTGCACCATATAAGTAGCTCCCTGGCCGGCCCAGAATGGAACTTGTGCTGCAGAGGCTGTGGCTAGCTTCACAGTGCTGTGTTTAATCTCTTGCGCCACCAGGGAGGCCCTTCACTTATTTTTTAAAAACAAATACCTTTGTGCCCATTTGTAATGATTATTGTAACCAAAACTGTAATTCCAAGGATTCTCACAAAACATGTTACA